ACTACCAGAAGCTAATGTATTTCCATCAGGAGAGAAACAGACTGAGCAAACTTAATTACTATGACCATCTAATGAGGCTTTTAATTATCTTGTTTAGACATCCCATAACAGAATAGACTTATCTTAACTACCAGAAGCTAAAGTATTTCCATCAGGAGAGAAACAGACTGATTTAACAGCATCATAATGACAATCTAATTTGGCTTTTTATTATCCTGTGTTGACATCCCATAGACGGATAGTCCAATCACTACTCCCAGAAGCTAATGTATTTCCATCAGGAGAGAAACAGACAGACCAAACTTAATTACACTGACAATCTAATGAGGCTTTTAATTATCCTGTTTTTACATCCCATAGATGGATAGACTTATCATTACTACCAGAAGCTAATGTATTTCCATCAGGAGAGAAACAGACTGACAAGATTTCAGTAGTATGACCATCTAATTTGGCTTTTTATTATCCTGTTTTGACATCCCAAAGACGAATAGTCTTATCAACACTACCAGAAGCTAATGTATTTCCATCAGGAGAGAAACAGATTGACCAAGCCATTGTACTATGAATATCTAATTTGGCTTTTTATTATCCTGTTTTGATATCCCAAAGACGAATAGAGTTATCACTACTACCAGAAGCTAATGTATTCCCATCAGGAGAGAAACAAACTGATTACACAAATCCTGTATGACCATTTAATTTATTTAGTTCATTAATTCTTAATTCTTTCCATCTACAATTAATTAATAATGCTCTATTCAAATTTATTCCACTTATGTTAACATTATAGAATTGGGATCCGCTAAAATTGCACTTAAAAAAATTAGCTCCAACTAAAGAAGTATTTTACAAATTTATGTTTTCAAAATTTTTTTTTCTAAGGTTTACTTTCATCTAAACTAATAAATGTAATGAATTAGACCCACATTATATCAAAGTTTCATCTATGGATGTGAGGTGAACTAAAAAATACAGAAATTCAAAGATCCATCTATAATCCTTGATACTATTAATTAAACTTTATGTGGATTCATCATTTACTTCAGAGGAATAGTCTACCTTATTGAAGCCATGGTCTTTTAATTTTCTTAAGACTTCTGTGATTTTTTTGATATCATTTCTAACAACAGACAATTTCTATTCTTTATCAGCCTGGGTGATATCAACTCCTTTATATAAGGTACATGATTCTAATTGGCTTTGATTCCTGTTATCTGAAAGATATCCAATGATGTCTTAAACTTTTTCCCTTCTTAATTTTTCTAATATGGCACCAAAAATTTGCTCATCTACATCTTTTATATGACCAAAGATGTCAGCTAGAGCTTCCTTCTCTTAAAAATGGGCTTGCATAATCTTTTTTATTTTTAATAATGAATTTCTATTACTCTAACTTGAAGTTATATACTGCAAAATTGATAAAAGTATCTTGTGTATTTCTGTAAAATAGAAGCTCCAACTTTATGTAGATTTGGAATTGATTGTAGTAGATGTTAATTATGCTATTGAGATTTCATTTCAACATCTGCATTACTTGATTTTTTAATAATATAGAATATATTTATTTTATATGAATATTTTAATTTATACAAAAATTGAGTTTTATGATTAATTCATTAATTTTTCTTGATTATCTTTAATTTTCAGCTAATTGTATTGATTGTTGGATTTCTAGTTGTAGTGTTATTTAAGATTGTATCTTTCTTCCAAAATTTGGTACAACCCCTCATTTACATGTTGTCATCTTTAATAAATCAAACAACACATACATCCAAAACAGGTTTGGGTTTGGGTTTGGGGTTGGG